GGCCGATCACGTGTGATCATGAGAGAGGCGACTAGTGGCTCGCCACGCTGGGAACAGGGCTTACAAAATCGAATCATAAAAGAATTATTTCTAAAATATTTATTGATGAACTTAGGCAAAATTACATATTTTACTTTGATCATTGACCAGTGAACTATGGCCAACTCATTAAAATGTGCACACTGTTTTGCGTCGTCAGAATCGAGTAATGACGAGTATAATCGTCAGTTGAAGAATAAGATGCTCTGGTTAGATATTGGATAAAAAATATGGGTTTATTTTACAAAATTCAAAATTCTACCACTAAATTTCACTTTTTGGTTAACATAATAACATTATTTATATAAAAGAGCTCGCCCGTAGGTAAGCGATTAAGAGCGACGGGACTTGTTTCAGAGGTTCCGGGTTCGATACCCACTTCGAGCAGCCTGTTGTCAGCCAACAGTGACAACGATTTTCACTTGGAAATACATATAGATAGCAATATGTTTCCAAGTGAAAATAGTCCTTACCCGGAATTGCTATTACAGAAATTGTAATAATAATATATCATACAGAGATGTAACAACTGATTGGGTTGCCATCTGCCAAATAGACTAGTAAAGTCAAAATCAGCACAACAGCTTGTTATGACTATTAGGTTCTGATTGCTGTTCAAAAATAATATATATATATATATATATATATATATATATATATGATTTAGTAGTTAATTTTGATGTTGAAATATATGAGTGAGTTCTTGAGGGCGATACATCAAACAAAGAAAAGCCAAAGATTTATAAAATAATCTTTATTTCCTTAACCAACCAACGTAATATCCACTGATGATGACATTAAATTGAATGTCGAAACGTTTGGAAATAAAGATTATTTTATAAATCTTTGGCTTTTCTTTGTTTGATGTATCGCCCTCAAGAACTCACTCATATATATATATATATATATATATATATATATATATATATATAAATACAAATTGTGACTATAGAGCAAAATGACCAACTATTTTAATTTACTGAGTTTTGTTCCCTATTTCTGCAAACTGTACTTTTTTCAAATCCTATACTGTAATAGTACTAATTCGTATAACTTTTTGCAAATAAGTGGACCCTTCTAAATAGTAAAATTACTTGTAATTAATCATTTACTGAGTTCTGTACTCTATTTGTACTGTACTGTAATAGTACTAATTTGTATATTTTTTTTGCCGGTGGACCCATCTATATATAATTCCTTGCAATTATTCATTTATTGAATACTGTACTCTATTTGTACTGTACTGTAATAGTACTCATTTGTATAATTTTATGCAAATAAGTGGACTCTTGTACATAATATAATTTCTTGTAATTAATCATTTACTGAGTTCTGTACTCAATTTGTACTGTACTGTTATAGTACTCATTTGTATAATTTTATGCAAATAAGAGGACCCTTCTATATATGATTCCTTGTAATTAATAATTTACTGAGTTCTGTACTCTATTTGTACTGTAATGTAATAATAGTACTCATTTATGCAAATAAGGGACCCTTCTAAATAGTAAAATTACTTGTAATTAATCATTTACTGGATTTTGTACTTTATTTCCGCAAACCATACTCTTTTCAAATCCTGTACTGTAAAAGTACTAATAGTAAAATTTAATGGAAAGAAATTTCTCTAAAGTAAAACATATTGTTAATTAAGTCATTTTTTTAAGAAATTGTAGGAGTAAATTATATTTAAATTAAGCAAAATTTAAGAACTTGGCACAATGTGTGTAAAAAGCTTTCAACATTTTAAGCCATTTAATAGTGCATATCCCACATCAAAATTTTACTAGACATTTTCTTAAGTTATCGAAATAATGATGTTAAGTTAAGTTATTGAAAGAATGAAGTAAAAAGTCGTTGTATAAACATTATCAAAGTGATTAAATTATTATAAATATATGTATAAGCAAGTTGTTTGGATGCAGCTGCATTATCAGAAGGACATTCCCATTTAGCAGAAGAAAATATAATAATTAATAAATAAATTTGGTACAAAACCAATCGAAAATAGTTCTTTAAAATTACTATCTAAATAGAGTAAGCAATCTAATGAATTTACTCTTTATTAGGAAATTTTAACTAATATTTAGCATATTGTTAGATAATAATTAAAATAAACTTAAAAGACTTCCACTTAGAGATGCCCTCCTTTAAAATAAAATGTACTAAAGTATGTTGGCAAGTTTGTAAAATGGTAAAATTATACTATAATTTTATTATTGAAATATTTCGAATAAAAAAATAAAAACCTAAAAATGGCATGTTTTTACTAGTATATTTTAGTCACAATTAGTTCAAATACTTGTCATCTCACATAGTCAACCGATTTTGAAAATTTTAAATTCATTGTTCAACACAAACTCTTAATTTCTGAAAACTGTGGGGCAATTGTGGTATTTTTTTTACTTTGGTCCTAGAAATGTTATTCACAATCACGGTTCCACGGTTTAAATGAACAAAATTATTAAAAGTTTATTACAATAACCGAAAAATGGTCATAATATCACCAAAGCTTTAAGTTGCACTTAAAAGCTCACAATTTTCAAACAAAGTGAGTTAATTTTTTTCTAATTTTTTTAGGACAATCAATACTATTACCCTGATCTGGGGCACCCTACCTATATATATACATATAAATGTACATACATATTTGCTATGAAACATTGACAAATTTGCGCATTTGCTTACTTGTTTATCAACAATACTTTCGAAAAACTTCAAGCCAATTTGTAGAGAAAACTATTGTCCTACAAAAAGTTTATTATTATCGCTGTGTAAATATAAAAACATTCGTGTAACGAGGACATGCTCGGCATACATAAAATAACTTCAAAAAAATTAGCATGCCAAACCACATTGTCAAAGACATCTCTCATATCCGTCATTTCAAATAAAGACACGAACTACTGCCAATACAAGTGAATTATGCAATTGATAATGAATGAGTAAATATTCTTTTTATAAACCATACGTAAGATTTTATGATTATAGGTAATTGAGATAGTGACGTTAACAATAGGACATTATAGGCGCCAAGAAAGAAAATAATACATATACTCTATCATTATCCTTTCAATCATTTATCGTGACTCCAAAGTTCAGAATGCGAATCAATTATGAATTCAAATGGCTCGTTAAGTCCCATTTGAGCGTTTCTCGATAGTTATGCTAAAAATAAATATGTTACCATAGACCAGATAGAGATATATAATTATAATGTGATTTATAATTGTTTACTGTCGGATTGAAAAATGTGTTATTGTCGCATTTTATACGAGTCGCGAATGGCAACATATCAACTCTTTAGGTTTTATGGCCAAGTACTTTTAATCGACATTAATAGATCGTGATTAATATGATTGGAAGGCAACGTGCGGGATTTTCGGACAAGGTTAACTAGGAGAAAAATTCCCTTTGGAAAATACATTGTGAGACAAAGAATTGGAGTGAAAGGCTGAGTAATGCATATAATGTACTTAGGAACGCAAAACAGCAAAAGCATAGTCAATTATAGATAATTTCCGTATAACACGGTACTGCTATAACACGGTTCAAAAATTGAAAATATTCCCCTTATCAAGCGAACCGTGTTAAAGTGAAACCGTGCTAAGGAAGGACATTCTCTAAGGGTCTATCCCCTTTAGCACGGTTTCACTTTACAAAGGTTTAAGAATTGAGCTGAACCCTAATAAAATATAAAATATATGCTACGTAGTTATAGAATTTATTAAAACTCTCCTTCAGGTTGTTGGGTTATAATTTAACCCTTGTAGCTGTGGACTGTATTAAACACTGATTTGTTTGTATATTATGTATTTGTTGCAGTTCTAATTACAATCACTGATTTGTTACTAAGTTATAATGAAAGATTATTTAAAAAACTTGGTTGATTATTATTGGTTATTTAGAAGTGAACAACTAGTTCAATTAAAACACTCCGATACCTCCTCTACCAGGGGTAGCAACCATTCCGTGTAAAGCTTAAGGCCCTGAAGTTTGTCACCTTCTTGGCCAATATAATAAAACGAAAAAAAGTCCGAACAATATAATAAAAGCTTACATCATTCACCATGATACATCATTCACCATCCTTCATTTGAGCGTCTACGATCTATCAGAATGAAAGCCTAGGCTTACCCAAACTTTTGGTCATATTTCTTAAAAAAGGATCCTTCAAATGAAATGAGCTTAAAATATAGAAGAAAAGTTCACAATTTATAAAACAAGCAATCGAAAACAATTTAAAACAAAAAAGCAGATCATGGATCTGAAGGTAATTCAGGAAGATGCTCAGAAGATGAGGATATTTTGCCGACAAAAAACTCTCGTTTCAACTCTTGTGTTGAAAACGTAGTTATAAGTACGAAACATTATTTATTTCATTTAACACCCATTACTTCTCAAAAACAATTATCAAACATATCTATCTTAATAGTATAAATATTATAGTTATACTTCAAAAAACTCCTTAAAAAAATCTTCAACTACAGATTCGCTTCCTAAATTTTGAGCAAGTACAAACAAAAATTCAAAAATTAGGAAATACCTCTCGAAATAGGGTAAATGATAATAACCATTGCAAGAAAATATATAATGAGAATATTTTTGTTAGAAATTACAATGCAATTACACTCTTTTGAAAAATCTGGTGAAAGTTACAGTAATATTGCTTTAAATCCTGTTCTTGTCCTTTGTTTTATATAACACGGTCGTTTTTGGGAACGAAACTCCCGTGTTATAAGGGGGTTACCTGTACTAAATATGTAGATACAATATATGATATTTCTCAACAAATTTATAACACATCAGTCCTTTCCTAATCAAATCGGTTTGTCTGGATAAAACTGTATCTAGATAAACTGATCCCTTTATATCGAGTATCCACAAAAGCCAATACGATATTATGGAAAAAAAAAATTATATCTAGCCAAACCTTTAACTAATCGTCCAATTTTTTCCAGATGGTCCAGGGTCGTCAGCATTATTGGGTGCTCTTACTGCTCCTCGCTCTGGTACGTTATTCTTCCGGAGGTCCTTTGTCACAGGATGCACCAATTTATCAACAGTCAGGTAACTGGAATAGAAGAAACACTATTTATAATATATATTTATAAATAGATGAATATCAAAATATGTGTTTATGCACTAATTAAATAATCGACTAAGTTCATTCATACTCATACTAAAAGATTTGCATGTCTTGTTGACGTCTAACAATCAGAACAAAAAGTTGTTAAGTCACATTAGAAATCTATATCTGCGCAGCGAGAAATTTACTTTGGTTGATTTCAAGAAGCATATTTAGGCAACCAACTTAAAGACAGGCAACTTAAAGGCAACCTACTTAAAGGCAACCAACTTAAAGACAACCAACCTAAAGGCAACCACATAAATGTGTGCATTTATGACAAAGTTAGTAAAGAATGCTAAACTTGTTTCCATCCGCTGGTGCTATCAAGTTCTATTTATGGTCCGACCATTTTTTATTACTTCCATCACCAATATGTAGCATTGCATTCCATTTACACATCTTGACTTTGCTAAACGCTTAACAATTTTTCAAGAACTTGTATACGTGAACCAACTAATGGGCCGATTCTGCCTCATAACAACCCAATGTTATAGCAAGGCCATGTTACGCTCCAACTTCCATACATTGAATCGTACTGAATACCGTCAAAACGCCATGTATTTGCTGTTCATTCAGACGTTTTACACAAACTGCAACGTCACTCGCATGTTATGAAGCTGAGTCGGAAAGACCCTGTTAACAAAGATCGTTTGTTTGACATTTGTTCGGTTTCTAGGTTAGGTTTTCTATCTGACGGCCTGACTGCACAGCAACCACATGGCTTTTGTCAATATCCAGAACGAATTTGTAGGGAAAGTTTTTTATAGCCTTGCCATAACATTTATCTGTTATGCGGCAGAATCGGTCCATAAATTTCTACGATCTTGTCTATGATTAATTACAATTTGTTATAATTTTCAGCATTGACATCTGACTTTTCACCGCACAGCATCTTAAAGCGTTCGTTCTTTGACATTCAATGCAAAGGCGTGTACGACAAAAGAATCTTCGCTCGTCTCGATAGAATATGTGAGGATTGCTACAATTTATTCAGAGAACCACAACTCCATGCCCTTTGCAAGTAAGTAATAATAAAAAAAAATTCGACCATAGATTTGCTACCTAAATTTAGTGAAAGACTAAAAAAAATTGGATGATTTAGGAAAAGTCCTTTTGAATGAATTGAAGAAAGTACAACAGAGGAATCAACCTAATTCATATGATAATATAAACTTAATTGGTGCTTTACTAGTATACCAAAAATCAAGCACCACTGTTTAACTCTTTTAAATCTAGTTTCCTAGTTGTTTACCAAATCTATTTCATTTGCTTCATTAAAAGAAGTTTTGAAATAGAGAAAATATGATAATAATCATTAGGAGAAATCCATAAATTAACAAGACATGTAATTAGAAGTATTTCTATCAGAAATTTACTATATAATTTTGATGAATTTTAATAATACATGATATATTTCTTAAGTTTTAAAAATGCTTTTAATCCCATTTAGTTTACGAGGACTTAAGGTAGTTCAATGATTCACGCAAAAGCTTACATTAACAAAAAAATATTTAATTTAGGTTTTTATGGCAAGAGAAATGAAAATATTGCATTATAAAATGCAGTAACTTGAAAATGATGTACACCCATACCTCATTTTGAGTCGATTTAAGTTCCTAAACAATGCAAATTGAAACGACGCAATGTAAATTATGATTTTTTACATCAAAGCAAGTAAAGTAAAAAATAATATAACATTTCATTATATTAATACAAAAATCATTTAATAATATTTAAAAAATAAAGATTAAAATACAACACATATTAAGTTTGTCTATAGGAAAGCACCTAAAGATTGAAGTTAGGTATCAAATTCACGAAGATGCCTGTTTTTGTGAAAAAAAATGAACAAAGTAAGCGTTTCAAAGCACAAAATAAATATACAATTTTAATCCTTGCATACAAGACACAAAAAAGTATTAAATTCAAATAGACTGTTCAAATAATTTCTGGAGAACAACTTCTAATATAATCACTGGTTAGACTCTAACCAGTGATTATATTAGAAGTTGTTCTCTCTAACCGTTAGAGACTGTTGTCATACAAATTGATCCAAATATTTTTCCAACAGTTTCTTTTTAAACGTAAAATGAACTTACTTTGTTATAAGTGATATTTCTGCAAGCAGAATTGTTTTTTTTTTAATTTGCATAGTTCCATCAATCAAATACATGTACTAACTAGTGGTGCATGGCACCATGCCTTAAGTCAAATTGCTGGAACTTCCCATACCGAAAACTAAATTATTAAAAAAAAACTTTTGACACTTTTTGCTCCGTATCTCAGAAACTGTCATACCTGCCTTTGATCAGCATGTCTGCTTATCAGTAGGAATCGAATGTTTCTTGAATTATTCAAATCGGTTAAATCGTGTTTGCAAAATCGTCGACGAAAATTTGTAACCGCATACACACACATACATCCATTTTTTCTAAGGCATGCAAAAATGTTCAGAAACCTTTGAAACGTAAAGATATATAAAAAATTTCATTTTCGATTTTTTTGCGATTACTATAACTTACCCTACGGGGTAAAATAATTTGTTCGACTTAAAACAGCCAACCTAGATAATCAGGCAGTGAAAATTAGGTACTTTTTAAGTAGGGAACCAATTTCAAAGTGAGTTGTTGGTGTACAAAAATTTGCAATACCTCCGTATTCCTTTTGACTTTATAACATTGTATAAGATAGCTTTAATTTAGTGATATTTGAACAGGAAAGAATGTTTCACAACGGATTACTTCAAAGGATGCATGGAGTCACTTCAACTCAACGATGAGATCGAATTGATACAAACGTACATTAAGCAATTGCACGGAGCAGAGCCGGACTTCTAAGACACGTTCAAAATACTAATTCAAATGTGTCCGAAACCAGATTCCAAGAAAATATTATTTACACATCATCACAATCAATACAAACTCTCATCATCATACAATACCAAAACAATGAACGAAGGACATCAGTATTGTTTTCTTTATAAGTTTGTATTATTTTTATTATTATTATTTTTAGTTATAGTTACACTTATTATTATATTTCTGTAGTAAACTAGTATTTTTAAGTTTGATCCATTTTAATGAATTTTTTTAAATTATAACAACAATTTTTGATTTTGATGCCACATAATTTATTACTAACACTACCACTTTTTTGTGGTAATCTATTTTTTTAAATTTCGTCGATTTTTATGCAGTTTTACTTATTAGTCCAGTCAATTAAGCTTAAATTAGGTAAGAATCTCGGAATTCAAGATACCCAGCTGCAAGTCTTTTAATACTTGTATATTGACACACTAAAGTTTTCTCAAAACCTACATATGATATGGTCAATACCATATGTAGGTTTTGAGACAACTTTTAGGTGTCAATATACAAGTATTTACAGACTTACAGCTGGGTATCTCGAATTCCGAGGTGAACTTACTACAATAACTGGTCTATATACATTTTTTTTTTAATTTTATTAGCACAATACTTCATCATAAATTAATATTATTTTTACTTTTATTTTTTTAAATTTTAATTACACTTATGTTTAAAATAGTGTTATTTTATATGGTGCTAACTTTGTTTTTGTGAAAATTTTTTTTATACAATTTTACTTTTTTACCACTCACGTTTTTTTTTAAATTTTATTACTTTTTGATTTTGTTGCACACGATTTTTTTACAAAATCACAAATTTTGTTTTTTTAAAAATAATTTTGTGTTTTTAGTATTTTTGACTAACGCACTGAGAAGAATTTTTAGAGCTAATATATTTTTTCAGCTCATATTTTTGGAGACTGCTGCAATGCACAGAGATTGCACTTTTTTACCTATTTTTGCATGTAGTTTTTAGAAAAAAAGTTCAAAAATTTAAGGCATTTTTTAAAACTCTGAAACTTCAAATAACAAATCAATAAAAAAATATTTTCAGAACTATGTAGTCTGATCATAATGCTAGATTTTCAAAATTTGTTCTTTGTTTTTTAATTCCCCAAAAATTATTTCTCTTAAGCTTGAAATTCAACCAATTTTCTACTGAGATCGACATATAAACTCGTCATGAAGAAGTGCCAGATTTTTGCATATAGACGAGTATACTCGTCATGGAAAAGTAGCAGAATTTTGTATAATGACAATACGCATAAATCTATTGTCCATTTTGGCCAATTGGCCTATTTAAAATTAAAACCTACTTGGCTATTGTCTATTCGGATGGCATTTGTTTTGATCATATACTCAAATTTTAATAAATTTACAACATTTATGAAATAACTAGTGGTGTATGGCATCGTGCTTTAAGGCAAATTGCTGGAACTTCCCGTACCGTAACGAAATGTTCGAGGAATATTAAATGTTTTCAAACAGATTATTTTGAATTATGTAATATCGTCTAATATTTATAAGAATTATATAAACTGAATTACAAAATTTAAAATTATTTACTTAAAGTTTATCAGTGAGCTTTAGAACTTTAACCAGAATTAAAATTCAAATATTCAAAAAAAAAATTTTAAAACGAATTTTTTTTCCAAAAGTAATTATTTCATCAACACAAGCAGAAAGTTCTTCGAATCATTCAAATCGGATGATTATTTCTCTCAAAAACTGCCATTTTTTATACATTTAACTCTGTATCTTCTAAATGACTAGACCTGCATTTGCCAAAAACTAATCACCACTTCTCCCAATCATTACAAATCGAATGTATTTTAGATCATTCAAATCAGATGCTCGTTCTCTCAAAAACTCGATTTCTATTTTCTGCACTCTTTGCTCCGTATCTCCGTAACGGCTGGACCTGCCTTTGCCGAAAGCTAATCAGCACATTTCCCTATCAATAGGAATCGAATGTTTTTTGAACCATTCAAATCGGTTAATCCGTGCGCCCGAAAACGTGGATAAAAAATTGTATCCATACATACATAAACACACACACACATCGATTTTTTCTGAGGTATGCCAAAATGTTCAGAAACCTTCAAAATGTGGAAAATGCAAAAATTTTCATTTTCAAAAAAAAAATTCTACGGGAAGTTGAATAGTTGTATGTGGCTTACCTCAAAACAAAATTTTCCTCGATTTTTTGCGACGACACAAAAGTGTGCGCACCACAGTTAACTGGTTAAGTTATATTAGTACCAGCATTTCTTCAATTCTAATCTTCAAAGTATCTGAAAAAGAAAATGACTAGAGTTAATAAAATTATTTCCATAACGTTAAAAATAAAATCATTTGAATTATTTATTGTGTGTCAGACTACAAAAATATATGGTTTGCAGTAAGATTTTTAAAAGATGCCTTCAAGAAATTTTATCAGGACCTTTTTCAAGGAAATTATATTGTCTATTATATATTAATTGTATTTTTATTAATTAGATCGAACTGTTTCGGGAGTGGCTTTTTCAAAGGATGCCTGGAAGCTTTGATGCTGACGGAGGAAGACGAAAGATTTTCAAAAATGGTGCAATACGTTGGGAAGAAAAAATAAGTTTAAGAAAAAGATATTCAAATGCAACAACTAAAAATACTCACGGACATGTCACTATTAAAATACACAAAAATCGGACCAAGTCTTTTTTTTTTAATTTAAATTTAACTTTATAGAATAGTGCAATCTTGTACAGTCGTCGAGGAATATTTGTTATTGTCTTAATAGTTCAATTCATGCTGTCAACCAAGTTCAATTTGTTTAATAATTTACTAAGTTATATAATGTATCTTTCGATTATTTTAAATTTAAATGAGATATTTATAGTGCCATGCTGCCGTTTTGTATCGTTGTAATTTGCATTCAAAATTCTAGTCGCTTTGTGGTTATATCTATATATTTATCATATTAACTAAAATTAATATTTAATTAAATCATATTAGTGCAAAAGCTTCAACATAATTGACCTGGTAAATTTCATAATATTTTTGATAAAATCAACGCTAAAATATGCATAAAAATATACCTATAACCACTAATTTACAAAACATATGTATATTTAAAAAATTTAAATTAAAGTATCTATTTATATTATTTTAAAACTAATGCCACAGTAACAAATTTAATTGTGGTCATTTATTAACATCATTTAAAATAAATTCATTCATTTAATCATGATTTGAACAATTCACTTCGCTATAAATTATTTATTATCAAGTATTTAATGAGAACTATTTATAAGCATAAGAAATTTTCCGTGCATTTACTAAGAAGAAAATAATCAGTAAATTATTATTTTTATATAACATTTTTTAGTGATTAATTACAAATTATATTTATTGATTTATGATTTTAATAAAAAATATTTTTTCTAAATTTTATGCAGTATTCGATTATATTATTATTCACATTTTGAATCTTTTATGATCAGTAAGTCCACTCCGCGTATTGTGTAAATATGTTGTATTATATTTTTTATTAATCTTTTAGATTAGTTTTAATAATATTTATTTAGATAGAAATATATTATCATAAAATATTAAATAAATTTATGTAAATCTTCATATTAAACTAACAAAACGGTTCTCTCTCCTATCACAATGCTACTAAGCCAGTAATGCCTATCGTAGGCAGTACAACTAGTCTATATATTTCACAAAATTCAGTTTTTTTTAAATAAAGATGCAAAAATGTAATTTTATTCATTATTATTTGTCAGATATTAAAATATCTTCCAAACGAAAATTTTGTATTTTAAAAGGCAATCATGTAAGATAATTTTAAATGAAAATTTCGCCACTGTACTATCTCATCTATTTTAAATGCACAGAATTACGATTTATTATAAAAACGTTATTTTATTATATTTATTTGCATAAGGTTTTTGTAATATTATTTATTATTAGCATTCCACTTAATCAGTATTTTGTATAAAGTTTACAAATAGACGAAAATATTTGTATTGATCAGAAAGTTATGTATTACTATTAAATACTGGAAATATATACAACAATGGATGGTAGAGCATGTACTGATGTTTTATTTGAAACAAAACTATTTAAATATTCTTAAATAACGTAAAAATTTACTCGGTTTAGTGCTGTTACCAACTGGAGAGAAATATAAAGGCGATTGGCTGAGCCGTTTCTTTATAATTGACAAAAAGTGCAAAAGGTACGCCGCCGCTTTAGCCAAAAATCATTAACCATTTTTTCCTTAATTAAAAAAAAACTAGTGGGGTGCATGGCATCGTGCCTTAGAGCAAATTGCTGGAACTTCCCGTACCGTAATTAAAATCTTGGTACGGAACCCAAACAAATTTACACAAAATGTGTACACATTATTAAAATCTATGAAATATCTAATAATTTGATGTACATATGTCCAATAACCATTTTGACTGCCAAATGGCATTTTTTTAACTTATTTTTATTATATTTTATTGAGAGTCCGTAGCCGCTGGACTTCTTCATCTTCTCAATACAATTAAAATGCTTTTTAAATTATTAAAATCGGACAAACCGTTCTCTTAAAACCGAGTTACCGTTTTTGGCACTTTTTGCCCCGTATCTTCGGAACGGCTAGATCTGCCTCCCCAAAAAACTAATCAGCACGTCTCCATATCAACACGAATCGAATGTTTTTGAATTATTCAAATCGGTTGATCGGTGTTCCCAAAATCGTCGACGAAAATTTGTATCCGCACACTCATACACACACACACACATACATCAATTTTTTCTAAGGTATGCCAAAATGTTCAGAAACCTTTGAAACGTAAATATATATAAAAAAAATTTATTTTCGATTTTTTTGCGATTACTATAACTTACTCTAAGGGAAGTTAATTAAGCCATTTTTCACTTAATTGTTAAAAAAAAAATGATTGATGAAACTTTGTCTGGTGATCTTAACAATAATCCTAAAAAATTATAGGCCGTCTAAAAGTGGCTTAATTCATTTAAATTTAGAATAATGGACGGGATTAAATCACTCAAATTACTATGTTGTGGTATTATATATATTTAAAAATTCATGGATATATACTTCAAATTTTTTATAAATTTTATAAATATTATAAATATTCAAAGATATATATCCATTTTTTAAAAGCTTTTGCCGTTTTATTTTTATGTAATATTCAAAGATATCTATCTACAAAGTTTTTGCCATCCTTCCAATTTCAAAAATAGATAGAAAAAGTATGATCTTCTTTCATTCGAGCCTTAAAGAATTACAACTGCCTCCAAATCGCCTACTGATACGGCTTGATTCAATCCCTTCCTACCAAGGTAGTTAGATTTAGGTCCTTCCTTGAATTTCAGTTTGTTTTATAGTGATAGTTACACAATACATTTGTTTTAAGACATTCCTCGTGTTTAAAATTTTCTCAGACGGATTAAAAATTGAATTGTCTTTAAAATAAAAAAAAATATGATCAATCACAAATAACAAAACATCATTACTCTATTGTTCTTATTCTCTTCAAAACCAAGGCCAATTCTCTGCATGAAATTGAATTTTGAAAAACGAAGAAAAGTAAATTTCCCTCTTAAAGTAAGTAGTAATTTTCCTTCTTAATGAAAAACCCTAAAATATCATTAAATACATGAAATTTGAAAAACAGCTTTTGAAGATACGTGTAAAATCATACTGAAGGAACAGATTATAGACAGTGAAAAAGAAAAAAGGAACAAGAATATATATATAATCAATTATAATATATTTAATATAATTTATCTACAGAAATATCTCACATACATGAAATCATTTTATGTTACATAACTAGATTTTCAATGCATGTGTTCTAAGTGGTAATTGCAATTATGCAATTTTCTGTATTTATATATTTATAAAGATATTTTATATGCTGCATATTGTAGATTAATTAAATATATGTATTATTGATTTTAAAAGTACACAAACACTCTCATTAAGTCTGTCATACCAAATTATCAAAAAAGTCTTTTCCAACTTTCAAAAAAAAGCAATATTACTCTCATAATTATTTCCAGCCATCAAATAATTTATACGAAAGAATAAAAGTCAAGAATATAAAGAATTAGATAAAACAGTGCAGCATTTGACAAATTCATATAAAAACAAAGATAAAAATATATAATATTTCTTAATTACCTCTAATACTAAATGATAATTTTGATGTTAGCTGATTTAAGATTACATTCACACTTGAGCATTGAGACAACGTTCAACATGATTCTCAAGTGCCTGAATTGTGTAAAACGCAAACTGGCATATAGGGCATGGATAAACCATCTGAAACTAACAAAAATAACATGAAAAAATGATTAATAAATATTAAGTATGTAAAAATAATTAACTTTTGCAATAGAAAATTATCATTCCTAATTCCTAGATAAGTTATAAAGTTTACACTCTGTTATTAAACATGTCAAGCACATATGTATATTAAAATAATTTGAACCTACTTCGTTATAGTTCAAACTACTTCCCCGCAGTCTTCTACATGTCTCTGGAGGGTGTGATAATTTTTAAACTGATTGAAGCACATTGGACAACTATAAGAACTAGAGTTTGACGGTGACATAGTTTTATTGTCCTGTGTTTGAAAATAAAATATTTTGTATAGAAACATAAATGTTAAATAAAATAAAATGAGATGAAACAACATTCACAAAAATGTTTAACTAATTCAGCATGCTTCTGTGGTTTTTCATGCTAGTCAAGATTGAAAATGAACACTTATTTTAATCATGTAATTCACGATGGTATTAGATACAGATTGATTTCAGATTATTAAGTGCTTTTATTCTAGATGGCTTTTATTCAGCAAGGCGTTATTTGCATTATACTATCTCCCATAATATAATCAAACAAAATTCAAATTTAAACTATAAATCAATAATTATTAATGAAAAATTGTGAGCATGTGTGAACACCCATAAATGAAAAAAAATGTTAAATTAGTTTTGTGACAATGAGCAATTTCCAGAATAATTTTCATTTTCATAAAGGATACAATACATATGTGCATAACATGTTAATTGTAAAACATTAAAATTTTATTTAAAGCTATTGTAAGCTATCTCACCTGTGTGGAGGAAGAAGAATTGTCATTTGGAGGTGCAGTAGGTGCAGCAGTTGATCTGAAAAATATTACCACTCTCAAAAAAAGAACAAAGAAATGTTACAACACAAAAATATCAGATTGAACATTAACTTATTTTGCTCTGCTATATTTTTCAAGCGCTGTAGAAGTTCTTCATTACGTTGCTGAAGCTTACGTAAGTCAGAAACAGCATTGTCTTTTTCTCCAGCCAATGTTGCTCTAGCTTTTCTTTCAGTTTCAAAGTCTTCTTTGTAAATATCCAACTAAATCAAACATAAATAGATTAAAACCTTTCAATTAACAAAAAATCTTCCCATAATCAGTTTAAAAATATTCTCTGAATAAACCTGTTGTTTTAAAACATCAATTTCAGGTTGATCCTTCTTTAAGTTATCTATTTCTTCTTGCTTTTTAAGTATTTCATCACTTTTCAATTGAAGAAGTCGTCTTTTTTCAACATGTCAGCATTCTGAAAATTTATGCAAAATAGAATTGATCTACTTAAAACTTATGCATAAATTTCAATTAAATATAATTAATTTTAACCAATTTACCATTTTCTCAATTTCTTTTTGATGAACATCTTCATTAAGTTTATTATACAGGAGTATAATAGACGCATTTCTTTTAATAAATTATTATATCATTATATATTGTTTGGAAAAATTGATTGAGCAAAGTTTTGAGAGAATCCTAAAAATAAATTAAAGTAAGGAAATGTTATTACAAACAAAAACAAACTATATATAAACTGACCATTCTTTTGA